TCCTTAATCGGTTAACCGAACCGAATTATTTCATTCAACCGATTGCCAACCGGTTAAGATTAACTATCTACTGCCATCGGAAATTCTCGGAGCTTTACTCTCTTGTCTTTATGTTCATTCATTTTCTTTTCGGAATTTTTCGGACTCCTTACGTCATTTTCATATTATATCTATTCCGCCAACCGGTTGTATCGGGTCAACCGATTAAGAATTTCCTCAACCGGTTAACCAAAAATTATTCAGTTCGGGTCGATTAACCAACCGATTCAAATCACTAGTTAATTAGACATGGCTAATTATACATAAGGCTAAAACAATCTTAAATATATGGGCTAGGTGTTGCGAAAAGGGATCAATTTTGATATTATAAATCTTATAATAAATCATAAGAAAATGCTAACTTTAAAAAGCTATACTACAAACTTCTATTAATATATATAACTACTTTTGTGTCTTAAGTAAAAATGTTCCTAATCTTGTTCTAAATTGATTTATATAAAAAAAATTTCTTTTGAAAAAATTGTCAATTTCGTTCCTTTTTGCAGCACCTAGCACATATAGTCTAAAGGCTAAGGCTAATTAGACTTTAAGGCTAAGGCTAATTAGGCAAGGGCTAATTAAAAAATATTAGCCTTAAGACTAGTAACAACACTGCTGGCGATACATCGCACCTGCGATAAATATTTTCTGCTAAACAAACCATTCAAAATATTGCTGACAATGATGGTTTATAAGCTAAATTTGTGCTAATGCTTAAGTGTTAATTTTTTCATTATCATTATTACGTACTGTAGAAATTTTTATAATGCTGCCCATATGACGTGTGATAAGTTTTCGTAACCTTCTTATCACAACTTGTAATTTATTTATCACCGTGTTCATCACCGATTTTGGGCGGTTTAAAGATAATCAACTATTACAGTGATTTTATGTTACACCTGAAAATGATATCATATAAGTCACATTTCTGTTTAATGGCTAACCACACTACACATCTTTCTTTAACAAACATAAATCGACCTTTCTCGAGATATTGTTTTCAAAGGCATCAAACTTCTTCAGAGGCTTCGCATTCAAGGAGGGGTATTGCCTTTCACCAGAGGTTTCGCCTTTCACCGGGGGTTTCGCCTTTCACCGGGGGTTTTGTCTTTCGCCGGAACTCTGCCGTTTCACCTAGGGGTTTCGCTTTTGGCCATTCACGTAAATGGTTTCGCCTAACGGCTATGGGCATTGGTATTACTGTTATTGCCTTTCAGACTTTAAATTATAAATATAAAAAACACGAAAAAAATAAAACAAATGATCAAGTGACAAAACGTCCCGTATATGGTCCCTGGCAGGTAAAAAAAAACAAATAAATTATAGATTATACCTTGATTAATTATTTAATTCTTTATATTTATACACTTGATTAATTATTTAATCAATTCTTTATATTAATTATTTAATTAATTCTTTATATTAATTATTTAATTAATTCTTTATATTTATACACTTGATTAATTATCTAATTAATTCTTTATATAGGTTCATGTTCTAGACACCATTCCACTTAGAGCACTATCTCGATTATGGGGAAAAATTAACAATGAATACAATTTACCTGTTTGGATGAGAGAACCTTTTTATAAACTCTATAGTTGGTTATTTGATTGTAATTTGGATGAGATTGAAAATCCTGATCTTAGAACCTATCCAAATTTAGGCTCTTTTTTTTACAGATCATTAAAACCTGGTGTACGACCAATAGATAACGCTATTCTTGTAAGCTTTTTTTTTTTGTTAAATATTTTTATTTGTATGGTTTTTTTGTTAATACATTTTTAGGTATCACCTGCCGATGGCAGAATCCTTAGTTTTGGATTAGTAAACGACGAAAAGGTAGAGCAAATAAAAGGAAATCATTATACATTAAGTGCACTGTTAGGGAGTGGCAATACAAATAGTTCGGAATTACCAATAGTCAATATTGTTAAAACAACTCATATTGTTGATGAAAAAGAATTTGCAAATATCAATGGTATTACATATTCTTTAGATTCTTTGCTAGGTGATGATCCAGATATGTCTATAAAACAAGAAAGCACTCTCGAAAATGATGTTTCAGGTCTAAATAAAGCAGATCAACAAAAAAAAGAAAAGCTCATTTCAAAAAATGTAACAGACATTTCGCTTAATAATACTCATAAATGGCATGCAATTAAAAAAGGAAATGGACTTTTCTTTTGTGTGATTTATCTTGCTCCTGGAGATTATCACAGATTTCATTCTCCAACAAATTGGGTTGTTGAATCAAGACGTCATTTTGCGGGTATGTTCTTGAATTTATATTTAACACGAGAAATTTGGTTATAATCATGCGACAAAGGTTATTCTTTTTTCAGGTGAACTCTTCTCAGTGTCACCATACATGTTAAATCTGTTGCCAGATTTGTTTGTTTTGAATGAACGGGTAGCGTTACTAGGAAGATGGAGACATGGTTTTTTTGCAATGATACCAGTTGGTGCTACCAATGTTGGATCAATCAGGATTAATTTTGATCAGGTATTTAAATTATTTTCATGTAGTAGGTGGAAAATCAAGATATGATATTTTTTTCGTAGCTTACATATTGTCTTTCAGATTCTTCGTACAAATCAAAAAGGAGATACTCCCGTTGGGACATATGCAGAAATGTCCTATAAAAATGCTAGTAAGCTCCTAGGTGGACAACCTTTAAGGATTGGCGAAGAAATCGGTGGATTTTGCTTGGGTTCCACCATTGTGCTAATATTTGAAGCACCGTTGAGTTTTAAATTTTGTGCAACGCCAGAACAAAAAATCCAAGTCGGTCGAAAGTTAGGAGAAGATGGAAACTGAAATTAAATAAGTTCAGATGGTGTCTTTGTTTTAAAAAATATTTAAGAGTAGAATTAATTTTAGTTATTATCTATTTAAAGATTCTGCTATATTTATTTCTATTTATATTTATTTATCAATTACCATATCTAAATAATTTTAGTAATAAAATTAACAATAAAATTTAATAATATTAATATTAAATAATAATCTAAAATATCGATAATTCAAATTTTATTTCGATTTCTCATTTTCACTTTGTAACACGGGTTGAATTTTTTCATATTCTTTTCGTAACATAACTTGTCGATCATGTTCTAACTGATTTTGCA